AGGAAGAGTGAGCAGCACAGTGGTGGCAGAGTCCCCCTTCCCTCCAACCATTGTCCTGGCCACCTCCTGGCTGTAACAGTCTCGGGAGGGGGCTCCTTCCCCATTTCCATGATCTGTGAAGGGTGTGTTAGGGAGCCTTCCTTTCTCTGCTGCTTCCTGCAAATGAACTCAGCTTTTCATAGTGTTCAGGCTTGGGGCTGCATCGTCTATTTCTTTGGTTGACCTGGTTTTGGGAGCGGGAGCTGTTTCTTGCATTTTGCTTCTAGACACTGAGAGAGGACACTGTTGTGGGACAGTCACTTCACTTCAAAGATCCAGCAAGCCCTGCTGCAACTCAAAAGGTTGCAGGAGAGAGACTCCCATTGAGCTCCCATTTCTCGGGGCTCCACAGACCTGTCTCTCATTTCCTAGTCATAGGGGTCTTGTAGGTGGGCGTAATTATCGGTAGTCTACAACCCAGAGCATTGACTTGGGAAGGTTAACTAAATTGTTGGCAACTCACCCCATTTTTAGATAACAGAAAAGGAATTCAAAGGTGAAACTATTTAATACCTTCACACAGAGAGACCTGTGAAAGGGGCGAAGGTCCCTCTGTGGGACAGCTCAGCACTCAGGCAAGGGGGACGCTGAGTAGGCTCACTGGGCTACCGGATCCACTATAACCCAATTCATTCACAAAAAATGTACAATCTGGTGTCTTCTACACACTCATGGAGTTGTGTAATTATCGATACCATTAGTTGTAGAATATTTTTGTCACCTTAAGAAACTCCCTATGCATTTCCCTCATTCCTTCAGACATTTTCCTTTCTGTCCCTATGGATTTGCCTGCTCTGGAAAGTTCCTATAAATGGAATCATATACTATGTGGCCTTTGTGGCTGGCTTTTTGCTCAGTGTAACATTTTCAAGACTCATATGTCAAAGCGTGTATCACTACTTCTTCCTTTTTACTTGCCTAATAATACTTCATTGTATGGACGTACCACATACTCATCAGTTGATCCAATCACCACTGACTTTTAAAGTGATCTGTAAGCATATTCTTTGTGTCTAGTGGGCAAGGGGAAGTTCAAATAAATGAATAAACTGGTAAAGTCTGACTTCATGGTCCATTCAGATACAAGAAAGACTTACTAGAAAAGTGCAGTTCAAAGCCCTTGCTGGTGTTTTCGGCATCAGTGATGAAGTCCAGCCACAGGCTGCTGGATGTGCTGTTCAAAATCACCCCCAACATCTCAGAGCGGCTGAAGACCCCCAGCAAACGGGCGGAGTTGTTGGTACCATCGTAGACCTGGATACCAGAGACCCCAATCCGATGTCACCAGCATGGTCCATTTCAAACAAGACCTCAACCACAGCCCAACATCCCCAGTGTGTAGCACCCATGACGATGGTCAGAGTGGCGGTTGCCTCCTTTCCTCTTGCTGTCAGGGCTGCGCTGAGCGCATCTCTGGTCTTTGGGAACTGGTTGCTACTCTAACCTTTGCAATGGCAACTGCTTCTGTTTCCTCAGCCCCATATGCTACCAGCTCACTCTTCGGCAGCCTGGGGAGGCCAGGTTGGGGCTGCTTGACTTCCCAAGCCATCTGTTTCTGCAGAGACAGGCTGAAAACACACGGCATCTCTGTATCACTCAACACCCACCCCCGCCCTTCCAGTGGATGACCCAGCCAGCATCCCACCTGATGGTGGAAGTGCCCTGCCTTGACTACTCGTCTGGATGGGTATGATCTTGTGGTCCAGGAAGAATGGAGTTAAAAATGACCACCACATCATGGTGACTCACCATTCCCCAAGCCCAGCCTCTGCCCCTTCCTGGCATAATGTGGGCTCCAGCTAGGGCTTGCTGGGCTTGCCAATGGGGGAGTTGGGTTGGCATCTGGCCTCCCTCATTCCCATATGTCCTCTGAACTTCTGAGAACCACAAAGACAACAATCATAGAATAATGAACTGGCTCCCTAGGTCTCGAGGTGACTGCTCCATTCTGGATAATTGTACAAATAACAACAGAAGTTGTGATTGAGCAAGAGGCCCCCCAGTGCTTTGGTAAATATCAAAGATGGGATCTATGGGTGGGAGATGAATATTTGTGCTTGGCACACAATGTGGTGCCAGCTGCCAGCAAATTGGAACAATATTTCCACCGTACATTCCTGAAGCAGAGCCATCCTTCCAGCTAGCTAACCATGCTGTGTGCTGCAGACTTCTGTTTCAATCCTCCGAGCCCAGCCCCTTTCTAGAAGGTGTGGAGAGTCTCTTGGGGCTCCACTCTGAGGAGCATTAAGCCCATTACAGTATCCAAATAATTATAAAAACTGCTATTTTTAATTCATGTATACGAGTGCTTTGTCTACATGGATGTAAGGGTACCCCATGCCTGCCTGGTGCCCATGGAGGCAAGAAGACGGTGTCTGATCTCCTAGAACTCTCTGTGTGTGTGTGTGTGTGTGTGTGTGTGTGTGTGTGTGTGTACATCAGAGAACAACCGTGGGTGTGAGTCCTCATTTTGTGATTTTTTGTTTGCTCTGGATTCCTCTTGTCTACTGCTGTGTGCTCCAGGTTGGCTGGCCCTGGAGCTTCCAGGATTCTCCTGTCTCCACCAGCTGTAGAAGCCCCAGGATCACAGCCATGTGCTACTGCATCTGGCTTTTATATGAGTTATGCGGATTCTAACTCAGGTCCTCATGCTTGCCTGGTAAGCGCTTTACCCAGTGAGCCGTCTCCCGAGCCACGAAACAAAACAGAGAAAAACGAAAACAAAAACAAAACAAAAACAAAACATTTTTTTACTCATGAAAACACCTATTGGAATTAATGGGTCAAGGCCTTAGCAATCCACAGTTGCTAAACCACAATAAGAAACCCAGACACCAGGTACTTCTTAGTGGAGGATAGGCCACTGCCTATAGAATTTTCTTCCCAGAAAGAATCAAATCCAGTCGGATCAAGCCTTTGGATCCAATTTCTATCTAACATGAAAAATTGAAGACAGAAGTTCATAGGAAATAATAACCTGGGCAGGTCTTCAGTAGAATCAGGATGTAGGAAAAACACCATTGAACAAATGGACAGATTTCCTCAACAAATAAGCTATAAGGGGAGAAGGAGGAGAGATGGGAAAAGCTACAGATCAATAAACATACCAGACTGCAAATCCAGTGCGCACACTTTATTTGGAGCCTATCTCAAATAAACCATAAATCTAAGAAAAAAGGATGACATTTATGAGATAATTTGGAAATCTGAATACTCACTGAATCTATGGTGGTAGTAAGAAATTATTGTCAATTAATAAAAAGTTTAACGGGTACAGGACTTTTCCCTTCCTCGCAAAGCGTAATTTGTTCAAATCCATTAAGGACTCGAAGGTTATTTGGATCATTATGATAAAACATTCATCGAAGAAAACCGTGTAAAACAGAAAGGCACCAGGGAGAGGCAAACAATGTTCAGTGCTGGGTGTGACTCTGTATATATGTGTGTGTATGTCCGTGTGTGTGTGTGTGTGTGTGTGTGTGTGTGTGTACCTATGTAGGTCTCTGTGTATGTCTATATGTATGTGTTTACAAAAAAGAGGGCTTTGGGGGCTGGAGAGATGGTTCAGCAGTTAAAAGCACTGGCAGAGGAGCAGGTTTCGATTTCCAGCACCACATGGCAGCTAACAACTGTCCATCACTCCAGTTCCAGAGGATCTGGTGCCCTCTTCTGACCTCCGTGGGCATTGCAAGACATGGGTGCACTTATACACACAGGCAATACACTTGTACACATAAAATAAAAACAATAAAATATTAAAAAAAGAGGATTTGGGAAGGTGACTCAGTTGGCAAAGTGGGACCTGAGTTTGGATCCACAGCACCCATGTTAAAAAGCTGGACACAGTGACATATGCCTTTAATCCTAGCACCCGGGAGGCAGACACAGGAGGATCCCTGGGTCTCACTAGCCAGCCAGTCAACTATTTTTTTTTGTAGCCCTAGTTGACCTGGAACTCGTTATGTAGAGCAGGCTGGCCTTGACTTCACGGAGATCCTCCTGCTTCTGCCTGGGTTTCATTAAAGGGGTGTACCATCACACTCAACCAGCCTGACCAATTGGTGAGTTCCAGGTTCAGTGAGAGACCACCTCAAAAAATAAGGTGAAATGATTGAGGAAGGCTCCCAGTGTTGACCTCCAGCCTCCACACACACGTACATGTGCATCGCAACACGTCTATCTCCATACATGTACACACATGAACATGTACGTATACACGAACAAGATCAAATTACAGATGTATATGGTAATCTGCTCTTCCACTTAATATAATGTGTATAATTTTCAAGTCTTTAAATATTTTTCTGCAGCAGCATTTAAATAGCTGTAGGGATTTCCATCAGAAAATTTACCCAGTCTACAACATAGTTATTTACTTATCAGCATCCAGAATATGTGCTGCGGCATGAAAAGAGATGCTCGGTAAATGCAGGAGAAGCAAGAGAGCCAGTGTTCCCGCCAGTACTTTTCTCCTTGATCCATTTGGAAAGTATTTTGCATATGATGTACAATTCTACCTTTCTGTCTTAATCTATTAGTGACTTGACAAATCCCTGATTGTCTGCTGTTCTGTTTGTTGTTTTTTGAGACAGGGTCTCACTCTGTAGCCCTGGTTGTCCTGGAACTTACTATGTAGGCCAGACTGACTTCAAACTTGCAGAGATCCACCTGTCTCTGCCTCCGAGTGCTGAACTTAAAGGTGTAGGCTACCACATCTGACTTCAAAGTCCTGCTGGTAACTCTTCCATTCCCCTCCCAAACCAATTTTGGCAGACATAATTCTGTGTATGATTCTGTAAACTTGGATTTGGTTGTGAACTTTCCCTTCTAGTGTGTTTGCTTCTCACTTGGGGGCTTGACTCACACTGTTTAATTATGGTAGCTTCAAAATCCATAAGTATGTATGTAGTGGGGGAAGTCCTCATGTGTCTCCCTTAAGAGAATATTTGCTCACATTTTACTGTCTTAAACTTGAGTTTTCCCAAATTAAAAACCACAACACCCCCCCACACACACCAAAGAAAAACTTGTGTCCTTCTAACTGAAGTACACTAAGTGGAATAATTTGAGAAAATGCACTTGTGTGACATTAAATCTTCTGACACATATTCATGATGCCTAGTCCCATCAGATCAAGTTATCATTGCCATCTCTGGGAAGACTCTCTACTTATTCCTGGGTGCTCTATCTTCATCTGCTATTGGGGGACTAGACTTTTTTGAAAAAGAGTTTATTGGGCCAGTTCATCAGTCTATAGCTGATCTGGGAACATCTCCCTGAGAAACTCTAGAGAATCTATGCACATACGGCTCGCCTAATCAGGCAGGGCAGTGGAGCGGCTGATTCTGAAAGGAATACCCCAAGCTGGGGGTTTTCCACAGTGACGTTGGACATTGAGTTTCATTTCTGTGGACATTCCCGACTGTCTGCTTGCTGTGTGTGCTTGAGTTTCTCTAAGACTAAGAAGCTGACTGCAGGGAAAGTCCCGCTTTTCACCACGTCATATCTCACCAGACTGTTCTCCAAAGAGGGGTGTTGATCCAACCTCCCACTCTCAGTGTCTGACAGTTTGCTTGGCTTTCTATCCTCGTCAATGCTCAGAATTCTCAGGCATTAGCGTCTTTTGCATTCGGGGCAGGTGAAATGGTATCACATTTTCATTTCTGTTCCCTGATTATTACTGAGATTGGGCAGCAGGGACTGTATATCTACCAGCAATTCTACCATCCTCTTCCAGGAATTTCCAGTTCATTCCCTCTGTTCATCCACCAGCATGGCATCTCCCTGAAGTCATTTTAGTTATAGCATCTTTAAAACCAAGTTTCTCAGTAAGGACTATCCATGTTGGGGGACACATCTCTAGATGGTTTAGTTTTGCCTCAATGATGATTGAGATTTTTCCCCCTGATTACACGTTTTAATTGGTTGTAGAAACACCAGATGCTCTGCTGAATTGTGTTATTGGTTCTGAAGGCTTATTAGTTGAACTGTTTGTGTTTTCTAAATAAATGAGACAATTTTCTCCATTCCTTTCTAATTTTTATAGCTTTTCTTCTTCTTCTTCTTCTTCTTTTTTTTTTTTTTTTTTTTTTTTTTTTTTTGTGTCTGGGTGTAACCAAGATGGCTCAGATCATCAGTACAATGCTAGGACTGTTGGGGATGGCGTGGGCCCTGAGCTGGTCCCTCAGCTGCCTGGAAATCTTTGAGGAAAATTTCCAATGAAATCTACCATTTGGTGGTGGTGTTTGGAAGGG